CCACTGGATTCTTGGCACTGGCATCAACTGGCGCCCCTGGGATTCATAAGAAAGAGTACAAGGGAAGCCCAGATAGAGTTTACATATCATCAGTCAAAACCAAAGAAGCAGCAACTGATCTACAGGCAGTTTAGTGATTTTTTCATAACAATTAAGCTTGGAAGGCTTAGAGCCTTAGAAAATGGCATCTGCAAAGGAAAGTTGGAAAGGCTCTGATTTTTGTAGAAGAGAGTGGGGAGGAGAAAAACCTTCTCAAAAGAAAAAATAGTGAAAGACAGCTCTTCACAAAGGACATGAAAAAGAAGCCACCAAATTAATTTGCAAAAGTGATGATTTAGCTTAAATGCTTAGAAAAGGCTTTACTTGCAAAGCTGCAAAGCCCTGGACTGCGGCTACATTTTATCTTCACAGCACTGATGCTAGAAAGTGTCACAATACCAGTAGTGGTGCCATGGACCACAGGCCTAGGGACAAGAGCCTCAAGGGAGGGAGGGAAAGAGGGAGGGAATGAAAGCTGGAAGCTAAAAACCTCATCTGACATCAACAAGTGCAAGAACGGCTTCACAGATTTGTTTTCCCTTTACTGCTATTCAGAATAGCACCAGCTGCCAAATACAGCCTGGCATCGTCTTTGTTTCCTTTCAAGGTGTCTGCAGAATTCTGCATGGAGGAAATTAACAAAACACTAGGAACATTGCTAGAAACAGAGAATTAATATTCATGAATTCATAGAAATTGTAAGTTAATTTCCATAAGTATGTTATTTGCATAAGCATGTTATCTTATGATAGTTTTCAAGGAACTAGAAAAATAAGAAAACAGTATTGTCAACACAAATAATTTCACTTTTGAATAGAAAAAACACAGCACTCTTTAAATCATCAAAGCTGCAGAGCCAACCACTCAAGGTTTTGGAGATGCCAGCATTAACTTTACCTATGTGACCTTAATCGTGTTCCCTTATGCATATGCCAGATGATGCATTCTCTAAATGCAGTTCATTTTTCCACAAAACTCCTGTTCTCGGGCTATGTGGGTCTCCTGCAAGGAGCAGCTGTTCAGTGCCTTGCGTACTGTTTGTTAGCCAGTAGACACCGCTCGGCCGTGTTCGCAGCCTGCTCCAGGGGCACGTGTGTGAGAGCTCCAGAGGAAACAACGGAGCCAGGTTTAAAAGAATGACCTACACTGATAACCAAGGACATGACTGAGAGCAGTCAAACTGGTGAACTCTGGGGAACACACTACCTCAGGTACAGAGAGTTGTGCTCTGGTATAGCTGTGAGCAGAAGACCTGTATCATCACCTGTACCATTGCTCTTCCTTCACCCCAACAGAAGGACAGTCTGTATCTATAAAGAAAGACACTGAAAAGGAGGGAAAAAACCAGCAAGCCTTGCCTAAGATTTATGGAAGCAGAAGCAGGCAAGATTTTGAGGGAGAAGATAGCAATAATAATTGTTGTTGTATAAAACACCCATCCAAAAACTAGTTCATTGTGGTCAGCAAAAAGGACCCCAAAAGACGTAACCAGGAGTCAGCAGCCAGCGTCCCGTGAGGTCTGTGTCACACAGGAGTCAGCCTGGCCGCGCCACCCAAACACACACAGGTCGGTGCTTCTGAGGACGTGGGTATGAGGGTGGGAGTGGGAAGACTTGCTTAGAAAGTCAGATAAACCAAAACGTCCTCCCCTTTCCATAACGCCTCACATTTAGCTCGGATTCATTATATTCCCAGAGGAGAAAGAAAAGCCTCCCGACAGCATGACCCTTACCATGCTCCAGAGCAACCAGTCCCTTCTCACACCAAAGTCCCCCACTGGCTCATTCTTGCAGATCTGTTTTTCTAAGGCTAGCTACTAAACCACCTGTCTCAAAGCACTGCACAAGACCAAAATTCGAAAGGTAGCAAAAAGTCTGGCTGCAGCAGGCAAACACAGAATAATAATAGTTGAAGTAGTTGTGCTTGAGTCTTTTAAGCTGCAGACTCACTGGAAAAAAGAAAATATGCGACAGAAAAAAATAAAGCATTAAAGCATAACAAGATGAATCCAAAACACAAACAAAAATTTTTCCCTCTCCTCTTTGATAAGACTGACAACAGCAGAATATACTCTGAAAATGCTTTGCTTTTGTCGTCTGAGGAGAGTCGCCCAGCCCCGTGCTCGCTCAGCTCTCCCCAGCCGGCAGGACAGAGCCACAGTGGCATTGGTCTGGCAGGAGCCACAACGGGCATGTGGCCATGCACAGGAGTGGAGATGCTTTGAAGGATCAGAGCAGAAGGTCAAGCTACTAGCAAAATTCAACTTTCAGAAGTAGATTTCCAGGCAGACTTCCTCTCCCAAGTCGTTCGTGACCAAACAGAGAAAGAATCCTGCAAAATATTGGATACTATATGAAGATTTGAAGCATTGCATTTCCCTAAGGGCAGACTTAAAAAAAAAAAACTACTAAAACCCCCAAGGAGACAACATTTTCCATTTCTAAAGCCAGGTGATTCTATAGGTAAACCCAACCGTGACCGTGACCATTTGTTTCCCTTAGGGAAGAAAGGATGCTTTCGGGAAGGGTCTCTTGATCTGCTCTCACTGTCCTCCTTTGGCCCCAGGCAGGGATGCTCTTCTGTTCATTACCAGCTTAAGCTGAGTAAAGCCATTCCAGAAATCCAAGTAAAGAAAGATTTTTATTAATGTATACAAAATAACGAATGTGTAGCCTTCAAAATGGTTTTGTTCAACATTTACAAAACCTGTGACAAAATTAAGGTGGGAAGAAGATGGGGTTGGCTCCCTGTACTCCTTCCCTCCCGCCATCCCCTTCCCTTGAGTCTCTTCTTCCTCCTGCTGCCATCGCACGCTCCCTCCCCTCTCAGCTTCCTCCTCACCGCTCTTCTCCCTTCTCTCTGCTACCAGTGAGTGAACACTTGCTGCTAGAAACTGCATGTAAACACAGACCTTTTTTCTTTTGACCAAGGGAACCAAATGTAGCACCTAATTTGTTGCTTTATCCCTTGCCCATATGGGCACGTACACATTTTTCCTCTCCTGGGGCAATATTTTAGTATTCAGGAGAAATGTTTAAATAGTTAAAAACTGGTAAGGATGACTACAAGGGGTTATGAGGGACTCTGACATTAAATTGGAGCTGCATAATTACAAGGAAGGAAGAGGCAAAGGGAAAAATGAAAGGATAATGTCCACTGAATGGACTTGGAAGGGATGGGCTGACTTCCCAAACTCTCATGAAGCAGGTTTTCCGACGCTACCAGACCTCTCTCTCTTGTAGAGCAGAAAGGGGCTGAGGTCCCTGCTTCTCTCACATGCTTTGGCACATTAATTTAGATCTTCCTATAATGAATGTATAGGTCAGATCTTGCACAACTGAAATCAGGGAATGGGTCTGATTTACAGCAGTCCAGACTATGTCTAAGGTTACTGCGGATCTAAAAATACCTCATCACCACTTTCCTCTTTTAAGTGCATAATATTAGATTTTTAGGTACTCAGCATTCCCAAAGGTTTATTTTCTGGTAAAGAGTTGGGATCTGCTGTCACCGGACTGGGGACCGTGGTTCACAGGCTCTGTGTGTTTGGGGTCTCCAATAGAATAGAATAGAATAGAATAGAATAGAATAGAATAGAATAGAATAGAACATTTCACTTGGAAGAGACTTACAACAATCATCTAGTCCAACTGGCTGACCACTTCAGGGCTGACGTGTTGCTAATGTAAAGGGGGGAAACGGGACCTGGCTTAAAGGTTCAAAGCAGGCAGGAAGAAAGGTTTGATTCTGCATAAGTACTCTGACTCATGGGGCCTTGATAAAGGGTAATAAAATAGCACTGGATTCAAAGTGAGAGACTGAGAACACCTTGTGAAAGGACAGGCTAGCTGCAAGGAGTGGTAGGCATTTCAGTCTCTTTAACTACTGCTACTAAAAGACCTGCATAAGGCTTAAAATGATTTCAGAAATGTAAGTTTATTACAGGACATTGGAAAAAACAGTTTCTCTTTTTCTTTTTCCATTTATAGTCATCTATAAAATGAAGATTTTTCTTGCTTCACTGCTGGCTGCTGCAAATTGATGTGGGGGCACCCTGGTGTGACATTCTAGCTAATTTCCACAGCACAAGGAGAGTTATTGCTTTCCTGAGCAATACAAGGTACAGTTTTTGGAATGCTAATTTTTTTTCATGATTCAAAATCAGATTTTCTTCTGCTAAGAACATTAAGTTCTGCAAACTACTCCAGACAGCTGCAGTCACATGAATTTTCTTAGCCACTGCAAGAAGGACACATCTCACTCATCTTGAAATGCAACAAAATTGTGCAATCACCAGAGGATATCTTGTGGTGAAACGTTCCACTTTTATTACTTGTTATCAGAGATAACATGTGTTGTCTCAAAACAGTTCATTTATGAACAGATTCCAGAGAGCTAACATCTTAGTTGGAATGAAGCGTCCCAAATGTCTGATCTGAGAAGTGCCCAGGTGCTTTACAGGATAAGAGAGCAACATTCAAAGGCAAATAAAAAGTCGAACAGTGGGATCCTTTAGCTGCCACTTGACAGTAATGCAGAGATGCTCTGATCAAAAGGTCCTAGTCCAAATTCAGAGTAGTGTTTAATTACCTGTTCTCCAACTGTGGATTTTATGTCCAGCATTCTCCAAAGCAGTTTTTTTGTGTTTAGTTCTCTATTTGAAGACAAGCTTTCTGAATATTCACTACTTTATTGTAGGAAAGAAAAATTCTGTGTGATTTAGCGCTGGTGGCAGATGCTGAGCTAACGGGTTGGTGTTTGCCATCTACTTATGCAAAGAATAGGCATCCATTTTTCTTCCAACTCTACCTTAGAAAAAGTGCCTGCGATGTAAGAGACTCCTCTATTTCTCAATGTCCATCTTACCTTCCACTTCTCTGAGGGTATTTCCACAAAAAAATGGATTTGTGAAATATATCTGTTCATTCATTCTGAACAGATCTTGACTTTTCAGACTCCAGTTCAGAAGGGATGCCTTCCTACCCAGCTGCACTGGATCTAAGCCAGCAACCTAAAGGTCTACATGTCAACCATCTCCATGTTGCTATGAAGAGTCTTAGAAAAGGGGGAGGGAGGCCCGATGTGATTAGACTGTTGCTGTAGTGTTTAAGTACCAGCAAAACACACACAGAGCCCCAATGGTAGAAAGGCTTAGTCACACAGATAACAGCGACATACATGCAGAGAATCCCGTCCTGCAAGCTGATCCAAAGTCAACTTGACAAAGAGAGTTCCTTCCCGGGAAGAGCTTGCTTTAGGGCTCCACGCCATTATCATCAGCCTGCATCAACCGTGCAGCTCTTTCATGTTACCTCCTGCAGAACCTCCTTCTTGGTTTTGTCACATGTGGTTGTACAGTCCCTAAGTAGGTCAGGGCTTCACATCTTCCCACCATTTTAGCTCTAGCCAAATCTATGTGCAGTCCTTATAGATTTCCCAGGGCCGCCGTTTAGCTCACAGCTACTACTGGCTCAACTGCAGAGAGGTCTGTCTTTCCTGACTGGATGTTGGAGGCTGATGGAAGGACATGGGAGGCCTGCAACCTCTTGAAGTTGATGTTTTCTGGCCAAGCGGGTCGGTAGGATGGGATCGTGGAGGCAAGCCTCTGTTCTGCGGGCCTGGGAGTTTTTCTGCACAAGTTGAGCAAAGCCTTCAGTTCTGATCGGAAGCTGTCATTGAGCCAGCAGTAGATGAAGGGGTTGTAGCAGGTGCTGCTCATTGCCAACCAGTGAAAGGCGAAGTACAGGGCATTGCTGGTGTGGATGGTCTGGCTGGAGAGGAGGATGACGTAGCAATTCAAGGGGAACCAGCAGACTGCGAAGAGGATGACGACAAGCATCAGCATCTTTATGGTCTTCCTATTCTTTTTGCGAAGGGCAAAGTACTGCTCAGTGGTGACGTCCCCGATGACGTTGCGCAGCCAGAGTTTCTTGGCCACTGTCACGTAGGCGGCAGAGATGATCAGAAGGGGCAGGACATAGAGCAAAACGAAGGTGGTTAAGTCGAGGTACTTCCAAAAGAGGTCAGCAGGCTCAGGGAAATCCGGCAGACATAGGCACCGGGTAACCTCCTCGCTGCAAGTGGAGCATACGGGACACGGGGTGAGAACGCATCTGGCTGGGCACGGTGGGAGAGGTACATCAGGAGCAAGGAGGTAGGTGGGAGAGGGCTCCTGCCACAAAGCCTGGAGGCAGACCGTTCCTGTGTGCACTTGTGTCACAGTTAAGCGGAGCTCTGCTGTCCAAGGATTTGAGCTATGGAGCGGCCTGTGAGCATGTGGTGATAATTTCTCATAGGCATTCATGACCTTATGATAATTTTATGAATTTCATCAACTACAAGACTTCCAGCTGCACAGAAGCACGTTTTTATTCTCTGTCCTTTGGCAAACAGAAACACAGTCTCTGCACATGTTAAGGACCTTTCCCTCATTAAAGCTCTTTCAAAATATCAGGGCTCATGACAGCATTTTATGGAACGAGTAGCTGAGGCAGATTTTTTTCACCTTCTCAGGGCTAAAGAGTAGATTAAAACCTGTTAGGTTTTAGGTTTTTCCCCATTTCTGGTCTGCCCAAACAGGTCAGATTGGTACATCATGTAAGATGCCAGTGCATAGAGATAGAGGGTCCAGGCCAGATCCTCTAACTTAGCCTATTTCATGTGATTAGTGTGATCAAATAAAGATAAAACAATTAAAAATAAAAACAAGGACAGGATATCAGCCATTGCAGAAGGAATCTGATGAAAATTATAGACTAGATCTACATTTGGCTGACTTCAACATAAGCTCAGGGCTTTCAGTAGAAGATTCCAAAGTATGATCACTGGCAGTCTGGCCTCCAGGGAGACTGTGGAGGACAGCTAAGCATATCCTTACCTGTATTCAAAGGTAAAGAGTTTTTGGTAAATAGCATGTGGTAGGGAGAAACAAGTTGCCATGATCCAGATTATAGAGATGTAGATAACACCTTTTGCAGTAGATATGCGAGGTTTCAGAGGGTGCATTATAACCTGTGCAAAATAAACCAAGATTCAGGCTTATAAATTTTCAGGAAATAATTATACAATTTTTTCATATGATCTTCCAGCCTTAAATCTATTACTTAATGAGGCAATTCAGCATGCAAGCAGTACAGTCTTCACCCAGCTCCCATTGACTCTAAGCTGTACATGAAAGCCTGACATTTTCCTCCATGGAAATAGGTAAAGTCACATCCCAGTCCTACCCTTGCATTTTAGTATTGGTGTCTAGGTGGGAAAAACTGGGTACTAGGGGGTCTTGCGCACATGTTCATTTCCAGGTTCAATTTACTTAATTGCAAAAAAAAAAAAAAAAAGAGGAAAAAATAGACTCTTCAGTATCAGTGACCCAAAGAACCACAGGTTTGTGATTTAACCAGACCTCCCTGAGGATGCTTCTGACAGCCAGTGCATTTTCTGGAAGCAAGAAGCTTTCTAACAGAAAATGTCAACTGTCAATTGTTTTGTGTGGTTGTTGGGTGACTCCAAACTGATAATGCCCAACTGTCCCCAGTTTTGAGCCCATTATCAACAGCAAGCCACAGCTCTGCTTGTGAAAAACACCAGTGTGTTACAGTCAGGTCTCCAGTATTTGGGGTAACGAGGGGTGAGACATCCCAGAGCAACGGGAGACAAAGCTGCGGAAGCTAACTGGGAAGTCCCTACATCCATGGTGCTGGACAAGCCACCCAGGAGCAGAGCTGCCCACATAAATTCCTATCAGAATCTTGGACTTTCTCCTTGTTTCAGACTACTGGATTATCTGCTGCAGAAAAGCTCCCATTCCCCAGCTGGAAGCAATCGCAAGGCAATGGACATCTTCCATCTCCCACTTTGCTGCGGGCTTGAAATGATTCTTTCCATCTGACAGCAAGAACTGCTCCCCTACCCTGTCAGCTCCTCATGCATCTTACGTTAACCTGGGAGCTGAGAAGGAAAGGACATGAGATCATCCTTTCTCATTTTAATTATGCCCTCCCAAGCTTTCCATCTGTCTGCTTCAGAGAGCTCTCACCTGGTGCCTGTCCACAGCAATGGCTGTGAGGGTCAAGGCAGAGACGTGGAGGGAACAGTACTGCGCAAACCTACTGACATGGCACATCCCCTTCCCGAATATCCAGGTACTGTTCACGAAACGAGCCTAAAACCAGAATACCATTAGTTTTGTGTACCCCCTCACACCTCCACAAGCTTATAGATATCTGAGACACCTCTGGCACATAATCCCTTCTGCTCTGTAAAAGATATTTTTAAAATAGCATGTTCTTTGTACAGTTGTGTAATTTTCTGGCTTCTGAACCCTGAAGAGGTAGGTTAGCGCTGCTCAGTGGCCCAGCAATATCCTCCAGGACAGTACAGCAGCACAGTACCAAAGATACTTGTTCTCTTTTATTCACAGTGTCTCCTTCTGCAGTCTAACTGTTGAGTCAATACATTTGGTTTTCCCTTTTAAGCCCTTACAGGATAGGGCTGACCTGTATGCCTTATCATACTTCAAAGCAAACTACAGCTTTTCAACACAGCTTGTAAAATGATGGTGAGCATTAATCTTTTTTTCAAGAGGTTCATAGTATTACCTTGGAAATACTTCAGAGAAGGGAAGGAAACAAAAGACCAGATACTACAAAGTACTAAGTAATCACTGCGAGGTTATTATTGTTCAAGTACTATCAGGGCTGCTTTTAACAAATGGGTAATTTCAGCTCTTCAACTAGATAACAGGAATTAGAGAAGAAAAAGATATGTGGAGTTTTCCAAGGATCACTCCAATCACTGTAATTTGGACTGGACAGGTATCTGCAGAACATCTGTGCACTGCCTATAGCAGTATAAAGAAGAAAAGGCCACCAAAGTAACTGCGATGCCTTTACGGCATCTCTGCCCCAGTCTTACCAGTGTAAAAGGCGTGTTGAGGAGCGTGATCATGATATCGGCTACAGCCAGGTTCACAATGAACAAGCTGGTGGCGGAGTGCATGCGCTTGATCTTGATGACAACGTGACAGACCAGGACGTTGCCGAAGAGGGAGAAGACAATGATGAAGGAGTACGCCGTGACGAGCAGGGCTTTCACTGTGATGCTCTGCGACTCCACTCCGTACCGGCTCCTGCCCACAAAGCTCTGCCAGTCAGCCAGGCTGTCATTATCCCAAGAAAAGAAACCCGAGATGTTCGGGATTACAAAAGTCTTCTCCAGGCTCCCATTGAGGGGCAACTTTCCTGGGGTCACAAAGGCATTAACCAAGCCAGGGAGAGCGAGCCAGACAAAACAGGACAACATCTCTGAAACGCCGCTCTGCTCCTCCAATTTGGAAATAGCTCATTTGTAAGAGAGCAGAGCTCCTGCCGTGTGCTGGGAGAAGCCGTCCTCCCCTTGCTCAGCCCAGGCACGCTCGGGGGCTGCAAACATAGTACGCAACTAGCAGGAGTGGGGGGATGCTCCTGCCGTGTGCTTCTCTCCCACTCGGCTCGCTGCTACTTTTGCTCCTTCAGCCAGCTTTATAGCCCCAGGGAAAGCTCCAAGCCAGGATCTTCTGCAGCTATTGGGCTGCATGACATTATTTCTGCTCTGACGTGCTGCTTTTCCACCCAGTCATGCTCCTCCGGGTGCTACTCCAAGACAAGCACATCTGTGAGAAAAGCAAATCAATCCCTCCAGTCATCAGCATCCTTTTTTTCTACCAGCAGCCCAGCTCATGCAAAGTCTGTGCCATTTATAAATCAGCAGTGTGTGTGGCAGCGCTGCTCTCTTCCAGGACACAGTTCAAATTTAAGCTCAGTTTTAAAGAACTGGCAGGCAAGTTTCAGCCTGTTTCACACCATGAAACTTACTAACTAGCATAGAATAGGGGGGTAACAGATGAATTGTGAAAAACAAGCCAGCTTATTGTACTTGCAGTATTTTTCCAAAGACCTTTTTTTCCCCTCAGAGGGACAGAGAAATACTTAAGCTTTCCCTTGGCAGGGCTTTCCTCTTGGCCAAGGGAATAAAAAGTTTGATGTGAAACTGTGCTTTCTAGGGTTTGTAGGAATACAGAGGTAGTTACAAAGAGGCGATTATATGGGACAGAGGATGGGAAGTGATGTCCCAGCCCACTGAGTCCAGTATCCAGGACTGGACAGGCAGCCATACGCTGGACCCAAGCACTGACGAGAAGGCAGCATGTGTGTTCCCTATGCCTTCCCCCCAAAACACAGTAGGAAATTTAAAATCAGTATCAGGAGACCCAGAGCCACAAATCCTACAGAGCACAGAAAGATGTGCCCCTCTGCTGTGGGCAGAGCCTCTTGGGTGGTGCCAGCTAACCCCAGGCAGAGCTGGTTTTGTACCTAAGGCTTTATTTAACCACCAGTTAAAAGACTCCCCCCCAGTGAACCACTCAGGCTGCTTTCTCCTCACTGCTGCTTAGGAGTTGAATGCAGCAGGACAGGCAGCATGGCCAGCCCACAGTGCTCCTCTGCAAACTGCTGCCAGCATCTATTTCTTTCACAAAATTGTCCAATTTGAGCTCTTCTGGCAGTTTGCCTGTCTCAGAGGAAGCTTTCCAGTGAACCTGCTGGAACTGCTAAGGTGGCAGTCACCTGTGACCATTCAGAGAGAAGAAAGAAAACTGTGTCCACCTCAGAAGCACTTGGCCAGCAAGGATGCCTCCAATCTGATGCTCCCAGAAAAACAGAGTCTCACAATGTAACATAAAGGCGCAGTGAAATGGCAGAAAGCAGGTCAGGGCAGCATTCTGGTGTGGGTTTGGGATGAGAACAGAGCAGTTGGTGGCATATGTCCCCCTTCTCGCTGGGCTCCTCTTGTTAAACCACTGCTGCGTTTACCATTGAACTTTATTATATCACTGTTTTATATCAATAAACATATTGCTACTTCTCCCTTACAAGGGAAGTGTGTCACTCCATCCGTGACACAATCTCCTCCCACACAGCCCAAGCCCACCCTCCTCCAAGCTGGACTCAGCGTCTTGTGACCCAAGGAGGTAGACCCACCACACACCGGGCAGGCCCACCCAAAATACGCACAAAGGATCATGGAAAAAGCCCTGTGGAAGCTCTGGTCATGTCATGTCACTCTCATGTTGCCTGTGTGCCCTTCTCTGCCTCACATCACCCTTCTGGTTTAGTTTGTATTTAAAAATACCCCAGTATGAACTGTCTGAACAATTCACCTACACGTGGCTGTTACTAGCGAACAGGCTGAAGTAGGTTTGTCAGCTTGGTACCCACTCCTGCTGACAGCTCCCTTGCTCCACCATCCCTGGCACCCACTGACAGCAAAGGAAGCAGCTGCACAGGAACGTCAGGATTTGGTACGCTGTATATGGTTTTTGTAAAAGGTACCTGTGATGTAATTTATAAAATGAGAAGTATTTAGAAAATGTTCGAAATAAAGCTATACAGCTCATGAATTCAGGTAATCATAAGAAGTCATCAAAAACATCTGTGCAAAAGAACTCTTAACAAAATTATAATATATTAGACAACAGGCCTGATGAAAAAAAAGTTTGTAACAGGAATATAAAAAAACCCCACTCACACTAAAGAATGCAATTCAGAAGCATTCAAAAAAAGGAATAATGCTTTTTCTTCTTCTTAAATACAGAGCAGAGTGTGCAGACACACCCCCACCCCCCATTTTCCTGGGAACAATCTTTCTTCCACTACTGTGGCTTTGTTGAATTTTTGAGCTTTCCTGGGGCAGGTGGACTGGAAGTTACATGAGTGAGAAGTGACTTTTCAGAAACTATCCAATGTGATCTCTGAGAAATAACATTGATTTTCTGTGCATCTTACCCCCATATAACAAATTACATTAACAATTAGGAGAAGTATCTGTTTATAGTACAGTCTTTCTACACACACCAGGTTACATTTTCCCCCCTGAAGTGAAGGATGCTATCTTTATCTTCTGTACAAGACAATTCAAGAACTGCTGCAGTTTATAAACAAAGCTGCTCTGAATTTGACAGCTGACTGAAAAAAAATTGTGAAAAAGGTAGAAAGAACCTTTGATACAATTCCTATCAATCCTATACACTTTGCTTAAATCTCTGCCTAGGATGTGCCCACAACATTAAGACATAAGAGTCCCCTTTGGTACTTCTTGAATTACAGACCAGAATTAATTCCCATATACTATGACATTTAATAACAGTGCAATAGTGGATTTAGTTCTCCTAGTAGAGCTGAAAGTATTAGAACATTTTCCAGCTTCTATACTGAAAACCGTTGGGTCAAACTATTACTCTCCAGAGTTTTCAACTGTATCCATAGAAAATTGCAAATAAGTACGAGTTTCGTTATGCTGACCGAGTCCATGTCCATGCCCATACTTGCATACTACTATAAATTTACTCCTCCGTAAAATTCAAGCCCAAGAGATGGAGTTTTCTATAAAAGATATGACTGTTGTTATCATCCCAGAAAGAAAACAGGCTTTTAGAAGTTTTAGAAAGAACTTGCAGTTTCAGGCAGTACTTCAGAATATTAGACACTCTAGTCTAATGCATCAAGCAACACAACACCCAAATTATAGCAATTTGGTGCCACTGAAAAAAAAAAACCCCAAACCAGAAACATCTCATAGAAGCAAAAACTGAAGGCAAGCCATCATTTACAGAGAAATGTCATATGGAGAATGCCTTGCAAACTGCTTTCCATTTTCTTCACTAACTTTCACAGTCTCTCTTGTACAGCAAGCCAGAAATCACTTAGTTCTTCTTGATGGTGCAGTGCTTTTGAATGGATCAAATTCATCCTGCAATTTGTAAACAGATAGGTATTACTAGAAATAGCATGCATTCTGGGCCATAAAAAGTAAAGTCACCTTTAGATTAAACTAGAAAGCCTGGTCACATTATTCCATGTTTTCTGACAGACCTGTTCTTGTTGGTTTTGATATGAAAGAGATTATTCATTGATTTAAAAGTCCAGATCACAAATGTGCAGAGAATAGAAACTGAGTTTACATCAATATATTCAGAACAGCTACTGAAATGGGGAACAGTCTATATTTCAGGTGTGACCTAGGAAAATGTTACCATTATGAGCAGCACACACCTCAATGAAGTTAGGTCCATATATGTATCTCAAATCATAATTTACTGAGATTTGCATGAATCAAAAATACAGTTTCTTTTTGCATATTCAAGCAAACATGAAGTTTTGTATTTCAGGTACAAGAAGAAGAGATAGTACAATGGAGAGAAGGCACAAGAATGTAACATTTTCTCTGAAGTGGCCAACACCTGACATTTTTAAGGCCAGGATCCTGACCGTACATGACAGTCTACTAGTCTGTGAAAACAAACTGCACAGTGCTTGACAGTATAATGTGTATTCTATTCAGTGCAAACTGTGAATAAAGTTCTACTTGTTTAATTATGGAAGTAACCATTTCCTAGCAGTTCCAATATATACTGCAGGAACAGACACCTTAAACTTGAAGATAGTATTTTAATTTTTTCTTTAAAGTGTATTTACATAATTTGCAACAATGAAACAATAAAGTGCCCTGGAAAACAGCCGTTTTTAAATGCAATAAAAAACCAAAAATTCTTCCTTTTTACAAGAATAAAGTACATAAACAAATGAAAGGACATAGCCAAGCACTAGAAGAGATTACAATTACTTTCTTCCCCAGGCAAAATAACCTATTCCACACATTTCAGGAATGACAATTAACTGATTAAGGATTGAAGGGAAAAAGGACTGGATATTGTCCTGAGGTTCCTTCCAGCCTTATTTTTGATGATTATGTATATATTCTAATTAAAGCTGGTTGCAATAATCTAGCGCTGTTAGTGGAAAAAAAACCCCCAAATTTCAGTTTTACTTGGAAATGCTTTATTCAAACAGCTGTAAAACAGTAAGCTTGCTTACACAAAATAAAAGAAAAAAAGATCACTATATACCATACCTCATCTGACTCAAAATCGACTCCTCTAGATGTTTGGCTTTGTGAACCTCTTTTACTAAGTGAAGATGTAGTTGACAACCTTGAAGCGTACAAAGCGAAAAAAAGGTATCAGCATGTTCTCAATTACCAGACATTCCAATAACTTTCCCTTCAACTTAGATTTGAACCATCAATACAGAAATTAAGAATGAATAGAAATAACAGTAAGTAGAACAATTAAAATTCTCAAACTAACATTAATTCTAAAGCTTTAACCTAGCTTATCTCAATCAGTAGACCAATTTATTGTTATAGAAAGATCATCCACATTAATAGGTAAAAATTCATATGAATTCTCTAAGCAGTGTTATGACTTCCTTAAAAATCTGGGGGTTTTTTTCAGGTAGTGGATCAGATCCCTGGACTCTGCTGATTGCCAATCAGAAATAAGGCAGTCATGGTAGCATTCATGAAGTAAACATACCAACCTTTGATTTACTTTGGAAGAACGAACAATAGAAATGTCTTCTAGATCAGAGTCATCATCCATAATATCCTGAAAAAATTATATCATTTATAAAGCTTTTTCAAAGAATTTATTCTTGCAGAGATATAGTGCATAATACTACAGTACTATAGCACAGAACCTTTGGGTTTTTTTCCAACTATATGCCTACTTAGTTGCAATATACACTTGACAGGGCTACAGGCTAGAACTGTAGCATGTGCAAATAAAGCACAAGTTTTGCTCTTCAGATCTTTGATCTTGCAGAAACCCCCAAAATACTCACGTATATACACTCTGTATCTTAAGACTATGGTCACATGATCTTTGTTTTTTTTAAAACACCATACCAAAAAAAGGGTACAAAAGGTCTACAGATTAACATTCAGAAACTTACTGCTGGAACTGATAGCTTGGGAACATCTGCTGGTTTAAGCTGATGTTTTAACCATATATTTATTTTTCAAATCAGAAGACAGCAAAAGGTAGCGCAACTTCACTCATGCAAGATGCTTCTTACCTCAGAGTAAGATTTAGATGAATTCAAAGAGGACTCTGGTTTCAAAGACCTAAAGGCTAGAATAAAACAAAGATAATATTTTTAAAGTGCTCACGCAATAAAATGTAAACAAAGTTATATCATTTTTTTTAAGACCTGCTTAGCATGCATTTTCTCTACAAAATACCCTGTAAAACAAAGAAGCAAAACCCCCCAAACCCAAACCAAAACATAAATTAAGCCTCTGCTAGACTCTGAAGAACCCAGGGATCTAACCCTCTGTGCATCAGGAGGTGCTTTCCAGTCTGGCTGAAAAACCTGCAGTAACTTTGGTTACATGGAAGAGAAAAATATTACTATAACTGATGTTCCTGTATGTCTAACAGTTTAGATGTCAATACATCTGCTAAAATTGATTTCTCCACAGTATTTTAGGTCATTTGCTGACCAATTTAAAATATAGGTGATTTGTCGATTAATTTAAAACTTGCTCTACCTTTGGGTATTTTGTGTGGGATTCACGTACAGATTTGTGAGCAGTATTCTTCTTCTTCTTTAATACTCAGATTACGTACGCTGTCTCCTCAGAGCCTGTCCTCTGTAGCAAGGAAGGGCTACTCTCATACATGCAGCTTAAATTGCAGCTAAGTTTCTCTTCCCTATAAAAACTGGCATTTCTAAAACTTGCTGCAATGTAAGACTAAATGGATTTGCATTAAAGCTTACTAACTTGTAAACATCAGTCAAGTTTAAACTTTTTATCCACTGAGGAATATTCTGCATAAAATAGAGACTATTAAGTCACATTCCTTCTATGCTTATTCCTTAAGGAACTGCATACAGTAAGATGTTACCTATTTCCAGTTCTAGTCAGAAGTTCCTGACACATTTCATTTTACCCCATGGCAGTAGAGTATCACTATTCTTTTTTTTCTCCTCCATTTTTCTTCCTCTCATCACAGTTAGTTATTCTATTTCATTAGAACCAAAAGAATCTCTCACAGCTGAATAGGACTAATAGAAATAAAGGCAATTATGGCACTTCTTCATTAAACAAACACCTTCATTACAATTTGAGAGAGCAGATTACAGTAATGGACAGATTGAAAGCCTACCATCCACGATAGACATATTCTTGGCAGGCACAGACACAGGCTTGTAGGTTCTGCTGCTAGTAGCTGACTCTTGGCTAGTGCTTCCTGTAGGGATAATAAACAATATGCAAATCTGTTCAGTGTTTGGGGTTTTTTCCCCCCCTTTAGTCTATTGTTACTGAGTGGGAAGTCACTTAAAAACCTACATTCGTCTTTACTCCTTCACTTTCTTCCTTGAATCAAAGCCCTTCTCACATGCAGGAGGACCGCTCTGGGTCAAGTGTTCAAAGCCCCACGGACACAGCCTCTTAACACACACGCCCCTGCTCTGATGGGATCACAACAGTGTTGGAGCACATGCTCATAGAACCAGTTTAAAGGCACTAACCAAATCAGTCCTAAGATGACTGCCTTTGTTTCAACTCATCCTGCTCTTAGACCTTTGGGCATATATTACTGAGACAACTCAAAGGAGTGTATTACTGCAAGATCCCATCTTTTCTTTTTTTTACTTATATATATATTTATATATAATGGAAGTACTGCTATCACTGTAAAGTGCACAATTACACATAGCCAAGGAGCTATTTAATTAATTTTGCTTAGGAAACACTCCCCATTTTCTCAGTCACTAGAAACAATGAAGTCTCTTATAACTTGCATTAGGATAGAGACAATCTGTACCTTGTCTCTATACTGATCAAATGCATTACTTTTAGCAGTAACAAAGGTTTATCCATGCACATCATTGCACAGACCTTCCCAATAATGCATCTTTTAAGAGTCTACTATGTTTCCATAGGTGGGAAGCAAGATATTTTTCTTTTAATCACCCTGTGGAAAAAGTCACAACTTAGCCCTTGTAAGGCTCTATGTAATATGATACCAAAAATATCTGTGAAGAATTTTTTTTCCAGTAGGAGTCCTTAAGCAACAAATTTCCACTTGACGGAAGCATCAGAAGAAAGTTGCCTTTTAAAGAAAATGTCAGTAACTGAAGTACAAGGAATATGAAGTTTTTCTTACCTCTTCCCCTTCGAGATGAACCTCTTGCTGTTGAATTTTGTCCTCTTGCACCTCTTGCCCTACCTCTTGCGCAACCCCTTCCTCGTCTCACTGTTGCAGGAAGGCCATCATCTGAATCACCAGTGTCTTTCATCCCCGTATCCATGAGTTCTTCATCACTGGAGGCTGCGACAAGAACTGCATCCTCAGATCTGTGGGCTCTAGCCCTGGTCATTGCCTGAAATGGAACAGTAAGTGCTATAGGAAAAAGAATCTTAAATGATGAAATGCACTATTGTTAAATCCTAGTTGTGATATATAGTTCTAAACCGTTGAGGCTTGGAAGATTCAAATCCACAGCATTATGGAAGGCAAGGCAGTCTGTCAAAAAGCAGGGACAGTATTTAAGCCTATTTAATCTAGATGTGTACATATAAAGTAGTTAGCTAAGCTCTGATAACAGAATGGAGCTAGTTAATATGATGTCACTGGAGTTTGGTGAACAGTTCAGGTCATCCTGTCAGCTACATGCATCTGCTTGGAGGAAGCACCCTCTGAGCTCCATTGACTTGATCTTCACTGATGATAGTGGGTGCTTCATACAACTAGTTCACCTGAAGATATCTCAGATTAGGAGAACTGAATCTCACCCCAGGTGTCCTTTTTCTCAAAATTTCATTCCAGTCCCACATAGCTTGCAAAGACAAAGGAGCACCAACACTGTCAGTGGTTGGCAATTCTATTTGGAAAAAGATACATGCAATCTAGATATGAATCTCTGGGAGATCTAAGACTTTAAGATCTAGGACTACTGATGAGGACAATAGTACCTAAAGGTTTACTAATAATACCAATTTGTTCCAGTAATATCATGCAATACAGCCTAGCTGCATGTCCACTGGTGATGGGATCACAAATAGTTTAAGCCAACAGATCTCTGAAGATCACCTGCCTGGTCTAACCTCAGTTCAGAGCAACAACAACTGAACATTCAAGTTCACAAATCTGCATAAGAAAAGAGGTCTCAAAAGCCAAATCGAGCAGTAGCTTAGGCACATATTATACCAAGCAAGATTTAAAGAAGACTTACTAATCTTCCCTAGGCAGACAGGCACTTTTTGGCAAGGACAATGTTGAAGTATTGCTAAGTGACTTCATTCATATGCAGAAGTCACCATTCCATTCTTCAGCCTATGTTCAAAATTCAAAGGAGTTACCTCACGAACTTCCTCATCCTCTTCTTCAGTATTCTCTTTTCTACTCTCCCTGAATTTTCGCACCTGAATAAAAAAAAGTTCCCATCAAAATAACAGTTAATTTCATACAATAATCAAAACACAGCAAGTGAGAAGTCTTGATCACTGAATTATTAAGTCAAGCTCATGCGAAATGCAAAGACGACTGCAAAAATAACTGAACAGTTTCTTTAGAGCCTTTTCATGCTGTCCTACAGTTTAAGGATCTCACATTCTATTAATAACTGGAGCTACATCACTGGGGAGACAAAAGCTTGGGACGTGATGAAAAGTAGGAGATACTATGTTCAAGAGAAGGGTAGTATACGTAATTTGACAATAAGTGACAGTGAAATATCAATAACTGGAAAAGAAGGGACAGAGATGAAGAAGCAAGACAGAAAAGAACGATATTGAGAAGGAACAAACGTTGCAATAACATGTACGACTAAGAAAGCCCAGCTTGCCAAGTATGAAAAAATAGATGATGGGTGAGAGGGAAAGATATTCATCCAAAAGACAAAAAAAAAAAAAACAACCAACCAAAAAACCCCAGAGTGCCACAGAAAGCCTAGAGACACCGATTGTTTATGGTGTCTTTCAACCTCTCATGAATTAAAGCAACAAGCAAGAAAACAGGTAGCTACAACCTTACTCCCCCCACTAAATTATTCTTTACGCAGTGCACACTTAAGCTGCAGAACAATTTTTCATACAATGCTTGAATATTACAACTGAATACATGGGCTTATGTGGAAGCTCAACAAGTTGACAGAGAAGTCTATTAAGGGTCACTAAATATACACAAACCAGGTTTGTCTCTGGGAGATCCTCAGCTGCCAGCAGTTAGAAGCTAGTAGAACACCTGAAGGATAATTTTCCTTTATGCTTACCCTGTTCTTGTACTCTTCCCTAAGCCAATATGAAAAAGCTAAGAGAGATTATAGTTACTGTCTTTCTCGCAGTAGATATATATATATATAGTTCTACATATATTAAAGTGACAGATCTTTTCTACGCATGCGTGTGCCAATAAAGTGAGAATCAGTATAAGCATACCTAAACCCCATTTTCAATACAAGCTTTTAAACTATGTATTTGAAACTTCATCACAATATTTATTGACTAGAGGTGAGCGTTGCACATGCTCCACACACAGGCAAATCTATTCAATCAGGTTTGAGCACTGTTTTTTCTACTACCTGTCTTAACCTCTCCTAAGGAATTAGCATTAAGAGAATATTACCTCCTCGTCTATTTTTTCTTCCTCTGCATCAGTGCGACGCTCCTTAAGAAACCTCTGTGTTTTTTCTAGCTGAAATTTCACCAACTCTTCTATGGCATCTTTTTCCTCTTTGTCCACAAACTCCTGCACTGCTTCTCCCATTCCTCTTTCAGTTAGAAGTGAAAGCTGTACTTTCTTTATAATTGGGGAAAACATTTTGTTAAGAAGCATCTGCCATCAAAGAAAGCGAGTAATATTCCTGCTGTTTCAGATAAACATTACATTAAGTTGGTTCCAAAACCAGTAATGTGCATTGAAGATTTCAGAGAAAAGCACAGCAATAAGCAAACATGTTACTCGTCATAATACAGTTATAACCCTCTTGCTACTAGCATGTAACACCTACTTAACAGAGTATTTTCCAGACTCAAATAAAAAAGTTTCATAAACAGTAAAGAAACTACAGTGCTAGTCATATCTAAAATAATTTGTCTGAAATGTATTGCTGAGAGAAGGTAAACTGTATTCCTTCCTAGTTCCCCCCGCCTTTTAAAACTAAAGATCAACTTGCAGAGACATAAAAATGCTATTAAAAAACAGGCCCTGAATTATTACAGATTATAAGTTACTTAGTTTTACTATAATATTCTAACATTAAAAAATGCCAGTTACGGAGCAAGTCAAATTATTATTGTGAAGCGTTAAGAGCTATTAAGGAGAAGTTTACTCTGTTGAAATGCAATTCTGTGAATAACAATAGTTCTCACTAATCTCAATCAAGTGAGATGATATTCATCAAGATATTCTACATTAAGATATTACTATGGACAGTAATTAGTAAAAGTAGTAGATGCTACTGGTGGTGTTTCACACCATTCTCTTCTCTACCCTCCTTCCCAATACAGTAAGAGGATACATTCTGAGAATGAAACCCCCATACGGATAGTAATGCTAAAATAGCCCCTTTTGTCTGTAAACTACAGCACAGATAATTTCTTAGTAATAAGCACTATATATGCTTATTAATGATTTTTGATCCTTCCAGGCATCCTTTAGGAACTGTTTTGAGGGTTGCATCAGAAGCATAAAACCTTCCCTGAAATAATGCTGTGCAGAGGAATAAATCTTACAGCTATTATAATAAAGTTGTTTACAAAAAAATAAGATAAGCATCTCAAAAGAATGACTTATTGTAATGATGCAGAATGTTCATGTTGACATTCAGCAATTAAGCTTTCTTCCAAAGGAGAAAAAAAAAAAAGCTTGCTAAAGAGACAAATAGCAGTGATTTTAATGTCCAGGTTCCAGGATTTTAATCTCAGTTTACCAGCAACACTGGAACTGAACAGAGTCTGGTACTTACTAGCCATTTTTTGGTCTAACATTTTTTGAACATTCAACTACAGCCCTGTGCCACCTCAGGGTCCTTTTATTTCCCTAATCAGACAAGATCAGTGTCTAGCAAAGCCTGAAGCACAAGCTATCTTAATACAATGTTTAAGACCCCTACCATCATTTTGGAGCACAATATGCTTCCCACCCCCTCCTTCTTTCATTACCAGTTTTAATCTAAAATGTATGGTTCCCCCTACTGCAAAAGCCTTCTCTGAACATCAACAGATCCTTTCAAGTCTTTACAGATGTTGAGCTGCTGAAGCAGGCCTCAAATGCAGGACCAGTAACTGAGCTGTTTATATAAGAACATACAGACAAGTTGGAAGATGGTGTTAACAGGCACAATTTTGCAGACTAAGTGAGGAAAAGAGATTAAAAGCAAAATTTATTTTTCATAGAGTAATACAGTGCCCTGTCTTTGACACCACTACCCCTCCCTATGGGATTTAGGGATGGCATATGTTTGAAGAAGTACCTACTTCTGAACTAGTCACCCTGGGTTCCCTATCATATTCGTAAGGCAAATAGCCCTTCCAGGGCATGGTTTATGCCATCCTAATACTGTGCCTAACATGTGTCTAAGGTTAGGCAATATGATATAATTTGGGGGATCTTTACCTCAGGAATCCTTGCTCTAATGACTTTATAGAAAGCATGTTCCGAAGTAGCTTCTGAAAGTTGTACTTGATCATCTAGATCAAGCATTTTTCGGTGTCTGACTCACTGATTATTATTTTTTACCTCCGAGACGTTACTGCCCGGGTATTGGGAAAAGGAAGTAAATTGGGTTTAAAAAAAGGGTGGGGAGAAAGCAAACTATTGGGGGGGGCTCTCTTCCTTCTCCCTGCTCTGCTTTAAATATAATGTGGAATTGCACTATGTCTGAGGACACAAATATACTGCAAAGTAACAAGTACTCCAAGTCAGCTGGTAATAGTAAATGGTACAGTCTCACATTGACCCTATAATAAATTAAGGTAGCTTCTCACTCAGAGCATGCTGCCTCACATTTTCTTCCTGTAAGAACATGACACATCATTTAGTACAGGGCAGACACTGCAAGTTCACATGTAGAGTTATAATGCTCTCAAACCAGCATGTGTTCACATACACTATACAACCTATATACAACAGTTACTTGTTAACCTAAGACATATACTTCATACAGAATTCACATGCAGTTATATAGGAAATAAATTTACTTCTTGGTGAATGTCAGAGTCTTTTCAGGGCACACTACTTCCATTAAGAAAGCAAAAAAAAAAGATAAAAAGATTATATTCCACTAAAAAAACCCCAACTGTAAAAGGTAGAAAGATACCTTCTCCGCTGTCTGAAAATACTGCTTTACAAGGTCTTCCACCCTCAGTGTCATCCCCTCAGCAGTAGGTCTGCTAACCAGTTTTCCAAAATTAAGATCATTGTCTAGAATAGAAAAGCACAGTGGCACCGTCACCCACGTTTGCAGCTTTTAATTATTATCCCACTGACAGTACTAGGAAAAAAGGTTAATGTAGGCCTCTTAAGAATTGTGGTCCCTTTTATATGTAAAGGTTTTTTGTTCTAACTGTAAAGACTATTGTCTGGAAACACAGGTAAACAGAATGGATGCAATAACTGTACAAGACAACTCCACCTCTAGCAGATACAAAGTATTCTTCTGACTACCAAATGTCTGGAATTATAAACTGAACACTATGTCCTGAAGGTTACTGTAATTGAACTCTAGAAGATCACAAATGGAAGAAAATCAAAAGGACTCATCAAAGCACAAGGGCTTTTTTATAAGTAACTCTGTTACTAGAGAAGAAATTTTCCTCCAAAGCATGCTGACTGATTTTCAGTAGAAAATGCTCATAGCTCATTAAGGCTGCCCCCCATTCTCAGGCAGCAAGGTAGGAATGACAGAAGAATGAAGGGGATAATCAACTGAGGTAACCATATATTACACAAAATAATACAAAGTGACTACAGACTGCTTCCAAACATCTGCGACATGCAAGCACAAAACACTGTTTTGTTAGCCTTGTTATATAAGCAGCTATGACAAAAGAAACAATAACAACTTCTGAACTCATAAAGTCTTAACATCACCTGTACTGAATCATAGCATTATTTGCACATGTACTGAAAATTTTGACTGCTTTATTAGCCACCTCCCTTTTATTAGAGGATATCTAATAAAGCAACGCAAAGAACCATGGTATTCTTTTTACATTCCCTTCCTGAACCTGAGATAGATGCACATTAAATGGGAAAATTAAACTGTATTGATGAAACACAGTGACAGATGTGGTAGCTATCTTGTATGTTAATGAGATAACCATTAAAAAAACAACACAGCAAAATAAAACAAGATCAATAAACCATAATTAAAAAAACCTCACTAAAAGCAGTTTTTATCCATGAAACATGAAGTTTTGAACTTTATAAAACTGACAGTGTAAGTAAAAACTGTCAATGAAATTGGAGTGCTTACAATGCACGAATGTGAAATATTAACAGTTCTTTAGCACAGTATGTTCTTGTGCAAGCTGTATCTTCATTAGCAACTATTACAAATCCAGTATTTGGGCTACCTCTATTAACCATTTATCAAGAGGTTACAGTGAGAAATGCTACAATAATAACAGCAATTATTTGTTTTGCTTGAATAGAGACATACCTGGAACAGACCAGCCAAGAGCACCTCATACACATGATTAATTAGGGCAAACAAAATGCTGTTGTACATTTGGACTTTTTTTTTTTTTTTTCCAATACACAAATATCTCTCAAGCCCATCCCCACCATTACTTTTTTAGGTATAAACAAATGAATATAAACATAAACAAACAGCAATAAAATTAAAAAAATAAGGGAAAACGTACAACATCCATCTCTTTTCCTGCAGAGTGCCCCAAACCAGCCACCTCATTCTGAGAAGTCTCAGGAGTGAGATGTTTAATGTCTTTCATGGTAATTATCATAGAAACATGGAGTAACTCAGTATTGGAGCTATATGTATTACTATAAGCAACTCAGTAAGGTTTGAGGCCAAATAAAAAGGAATTATTTTTGAATAACTGTCAGAAGATGCTGTGCTGAATATCAGAATTTTAGACAAACCCAGAAATAGAACAGAAATACTTGTGCAATATATATACACTTAAATGAGGCTATGCATCTTTACTCCTCCTGTAACACATTAGACGGTAGACACCAAGCCTTTGCAAGTGCTGGGTAACAAAGTAAAGGAAGAAGAATGAAAACCAAGGCAAGCCAATAATTCCTTCCTTTATAATTACCATTCTTCTCTTTTTGTTCACGATGCCTGAAAAAGTATATGATGTCTTTTGGGTTAGCTACCCTATCCATGTACTTCTGGCTAAAACGATGGACATTGAATGGTTCGAAGCCACCTGCATAATCAACCTAGAAGAGGAAAAGAAAAATTTAAATATGAAACAAACAGAAATAGAGAAGCCACACAAATCAAGATGAGTTTGTTACACTTCAAAGGAGAAATTAAAGTAAAAAAAAAGTTAACCTAAAATTAATGCTTTACTGTACTATACAGAATAGTTAACAGATAATAATAGCTAATAATAATATTAACAGAATAGCTAATAACAGTCCAGATTCATAACTTGTTCCTAACTTGTTTCATTTACCAGTGTTCAGGAAAGTTTCCATTAATTGGGTTAGGAACAAACACAGGATAATATGACTTAGAAAAACTTCTCTGTAGATAGCCACTTTTGATACCCTTACTCAGACCAGCAGTGAAGTACACTTATGACCCATCTCATCCTTTACCATAGAGTACTAGTTATACCACAGAAAAAAAGAATCATGGTATGAAGGCAATTTATACTTGCCTGTACACAGCAAGAAATTTTATATATTACGTTTATACAAAAAGCATGACTTGACTTTGAAACTTTTCACAGTGACCTTTCAAAACAAAGCAATCCAAACCGAACAATTTCTTACTCGTAATCTTATGAGAGGCTTCTCTGGCTGGCGTGGATTTCCCAAACGTTGTCTTTCTGCGTTGTCCAGCATCAGTTCAACCTGTGAAGCAGAATTAGAAATTCAGTTCCGCTTTGTTCTCTTAGAGATGCCTGAACCCTTCAAGTATAACTGAAAATACATCCAGATGCAGGGGGAGCTATAAAAATAAATAATTATAGGATGTGCTCTCATTCCTGAACAAACGTATGTACCAGTATCCAGCCAAGCGCCATAAGAATGAATGAGAAAAAAGTCACAATGAAAGGCTTATCTTTCAGATATAGTGTAGTCCAGCAATATCTACATCACTGATCACTCATGCAATTTTACTTTATAGCTATTATCCTTTGCTAAATTTCTAGGTCCAGAGAAAAGCAGGAAGAGACTTTTACAGACCTAAGAACCAACAGCAATTAATAAACCCACTTAGTTACTTCTGCCACTTCACACAACACAGTTGTCACGGTTTAGGTGCATGTATTTATGCTGGTTCCAAAGTGCACATCCCAGTATGCCCCACTCTTAGGCAGCAGCTTTTGTACAAAAATGATATGGACTCCCATAAAGCACTTCCAGCCCACTTCAGTAGGCTATCCCTGTCAAGGAACCTGGAAGCCAAGCATGCAGTGAATGTCACAGAATTAGCATCCTACGGAAATACTGCCTAAGTCTGTCTCGAATAATATGGGGCAAGACATGAGATTTCTCATCTTCCAGCCTCAAAACCAGTCACAGATCCCATTCCCTGTCACTACACGGTTATCCATATACTGTTAGCATTACAAGTTACCTTCTCCATGCAGAATGCTTGTATTGCCTGAGTTACTTTAGGATTGTCAGGATTAAAAAGATCTGGATGATCAGCTAGAACAATATCCTCCATGTGGAAAGTTCGCACTGTCTCTAGAGCAATCTTCTGCATTTGCATTTTTTTCCCTTTAACATGCAGCAAACCAATGTGTCTAGAAAGGAGAAAGGTAACTTACTAGAAGATAAACTTAAGATCACTATAGTATAAAGATTTGTTTTAAATTAATGTTTACTTTTCAGGGATAAAAAAGTTTAAAAGCTATAGGAAGTTCCTGGATCTGTACTTCAGGGTTGGCCCTGCCAAACTTCAGTTCTATTATATTTAGACAGTGCTTGTTCCATGCACAAGCATGCATACACAGTTCCTTGTATTCCAATTTATCAGGGTGTAACTCTTCTCACGTAAGTTCCATTTGCTTCAAATGTTAGGTTTAATCCTAAGTAAAACAAAAGTTATTCTAGGCACTGATTCTACCTACTTCATTTGTTATGTCACACTCTGGAGCTCATCCACACTATAACACAAGTCCTTGCATACTTAAGAGTATTTTTCCTTTGTCAACACAACACACAAGAGACATAAGGCAAGGGATAAACAAGAACAAAAAGATCACACACTTCTTCACAGCTTCTCCAGGGGACAGAGATGTCACCACTGAACTTCCTGGCTGAGAAACATAGAAACGTTGCTGTTCATTTTGGTATGGAGCTATTTTGCACTCATGTTCGTGACCCCACACAACAAGATTAATAAAGTCATCTAAAAACTGCTCTGGAATGTAGTTGGTAGCTCCATGTTTGCTTCTGTTCAAGAAAAGAGAAAAATAATTAGAATGCATACAGTCATGGGTGGGCAACAGGGGAGTGAAGGAGGAGAACAACATCAGTGTGATTTAAAGTGATACAGAAATGCCAGAAAAAATATCTGATGTACATTCCATATCAGGTACTCTTCACAGTTATTCCTTATGCAATTGTTTAAAGTGTTTGGTTAAACAAAACAGTAACTTACACAGCTCATTCTTTTCTGTTCCCCTCCTTTTATTTGGATCTCCCTTCTTACTTGGCTTGCAAGACTTCAGGGTTATTTTCCATATGAATGCTTTTATAGCACCTCACGGCCCTTTTTTTTGTTTGTTTTTTTAAATGGTGGGGTAAACCCCGCTGAATTAAACAGACGTGAGACACACCACCCACCACCCCTTTACAGAAGGTGAAGGAGACAGAGGAGTGAGCTCCTTCAGTCTACTGGACAGAGATCAGTACACAGGGTTATCTAAGCTATATTTGTTTACTTCTGCCTCGCCATTACCTGCACATGAGGACTGCACTCTTATTCAGGAAAAATTATCAGAAAAGATTTGGAAAAGAACTCTGCCTGTTCTGACTATCACTGCTGGAAGAAGTGTGTAGGCAGAAAGAACACATGCTACCTATGCTCTCTTCAAGAGAGTCTATAAAGTATAGCAGTGCAGGGGAAGATTTAGCACTCATCAAATTACAGTTCAAACAAGGATAGAAGATACAATATGAAGTTTAATGCTGTTTCAGCTCTAACAAGCAGGCAAGACAATTCTATGCATATTACACTACAAACCCTCCACTGCCCCTAACTGTAAGAGTTTGGGAAGAGATTTCCCAACATTCCTAACTCATTTATTTCAACTCTTTTCCTTTATGATTCTTCTGTAAGAAGAGCTGTAAAAACAATGGTTTCATTTGGGAAAATCTTAAGAAACCAGCTACTCACAAGAAGCACCAACTAGCATAGCTGGCTTTCTCAACTAGCCTTTTCAAGGCAGTTTAATGAAGTAACACAATATGTTTACAAGTCACTGTAATTCATTCAATACTGTTACCTATTTTGATGAATCACAAACAAGTTAAACCAACTATCTTCGTCTTCCTTTGGTCTCAGCATGGTTACTTGTTTATTGACAAACATACGATACAACCGCTCATCTGGAATAGCTCCTGGAGTGGAAAAAACAAAACATCAAATTGTTTTTGTGTGGTAAACCAACTCTTCATTTTATAGCATTTTTATCAGCAACTCTATTAAAAAGAGCATGAAGAACACAACTTTGTGGCAAGATCAGATCTTCATTTTCATGACCTAAGAAGTCTGAGGCATGATTAAGAATTTGAACAGGTCAAAGTATAAATTGGCTATTTTACTAAATAGACTTCTGAAAATAAGATATTTTAACAGGAAATCTACCTTTAAAGAATTGCTAAAAGCAGTTTCATTAGCTACATCTGGTTTGAGACCTCTTACCAGTTTTCTTGCCAAACAACTGACTATGGGAAGAATTAAAAATATTAGAAGAGGTATTTTGTTTCTTGTTGACAGAGTAATATTATTTTGTTGTAAGGTGGAGTCTAAAACCAGACACTATTGAGCAGAGATGGAGTTCTTAAACATACTTTTAAATTCTCTACAAAACAAGAAATAAACCATGAATTCTGCAAATTCTGTGAATTCCCACACAGCAGGAAAAAGTCTGCAGTACGTCTGAACTGTTTGTCACTGATTATTTCCTTGATGTTTTTAACAAGAAAAAAAAAACCCAAACCATCCGTACCCAGGATTCATGATGCATTTCAATAAAATCCCATATGGAGTTTATGTATAAGAACAAGTGCTCTCTAAATCAGAGAAAGTCAAGAGGGTATATAATACTGGCACAAGCTCAAAGAAACATCTCATGAACATTTTCATGCAGCAACACCCATACTTTAGAAAGTTGTTGCATTTCCCAGTAATGATTTTGGGTATTAAAAATTCAAATGCTTTTTGAAAACTTTTACACTGTGGTATTAGAACCCTCACTACTAACCCTTAGAACATCTAGCAAGCTTTTAAAGTATCTCATTAAACATACAAAATCATGGCCAGCTAGGACTTAACTTATAGCTATAAAAGTTGCTTGGAAGTTAAGTGTTTAAGCACTCATCACTGGACATAAAATAAGGGGAAAAAATTAAGATCTTAATAGTTAACTTGTCTAGGCAGAAAGCAGACAAACATAACCAGTCTAAGTAAAAAGTGAGGGTAGAGGGGAAGGTGGAGGAAAAAACAGAAAAGGGACAAATGGAAGTTGAAAACCCACCATAGAACACCTTTAAAATATGATACTCTTCCTCAGTTTCTTTCAAGAAACTGAGGTTACCTGCAACAGATATTACTTATGACCCACTTCAGACAGACACATCAGACATTAGATTTCTGCTCAGACTGTTTATGTTTTTAAATATAACCAAAATGGCAGGTGAATGTACAGTGTTTAAGTTTTACCTAAACAGGTGGAAGTAAGCTTAACACACAACAGTGTGATTGCCCTGACTCGATACACAGGCACTATCTACGGCTAACTTAAGCAGGGCTCATTTAAGACCAAAAGAAGTACAGAAATAAGGTTATTGAAGGATTTATTTTAAAATTAAAAAAAAAAGGCAAAGAAAAAATAAAAAAAACTTTCAGCCTGTGACAATGCAGCAGGAGGAGAAACTCAACATTGTCACAGAACGGATACACTTTAATTTACTATTACTTACACCTTCATGTTCGTTGCGGCACTATATGTTTCCTCCAACTTAATTTAGACCCACTGAGCTTCAGTAATACATGAATAGTCTAGCCACAGTCTGGCAGACTAACACTTACCCAAGCCATACAGAGCAATTTTTGTTCTACCCTTACGCAATAAAATGGGACTAATATCTATTTTCTCCACAGAAGTTGAACGTCCAAAGTGATTCAACAATCCTGCACAGCTTAAAATATCCAATGCACACAGTGCATCTGCCTGTAGAAAATATTAAGAAAAAAATATAAATTTTCTGCTCAAAGTTTTTAGTCTTGAAAGTATAAGTGAAACAGCCTCAAAAAGGAAAGAGAGTATCTTTCCTTAAGTAACTTCTGTAGTTGAAAAACCCCACCACATATATCAGTGGGGGTTTTTTAGTACTCTCATGTACAGAAGAAAATCCCTTTTGCTTACAAGTCTTGCTTCATTTTAAAACCATGAAATTAAACATTAAAACATTCAGAAAAACAAAACCAAAAATAAACCCAAACAGCCAAAGTCTCTAAACTACTACAGAAAATTATCTGGTTAAGCTAACTACTTCATAGTAGGTCCAAAGTTAAACTTCCGTTGTTATAACACTCATCTCCATGATACACTGCTATTTGGTATAAAATGCAAAGTTATTAATTCAATACACATGCTGTGCAGCTTCCTAAATGTCCTTTTCCTGCTTACTTTTAGTTGTTGATTTTTAAACTAGCCTTTCATCATTAGATTATCTTCCTTGAAAACATAAGATGTGTATCAATTGCATATGCACAAGTCAAAGTATCAAAATTCCCCTTCTTAATGAAAAAAGGTTTCAGTCTCTGGAGATAGAATTCATTTTAGAAACTTTCTGAAAGGCTGCCATTTCTTGGCATGAAAAGCGATTCTGTTCTCAGTGACAGAAATCTATGTAAATTAAGAATTTAAACATAGTTCATATGGATCCCTTAACTTCTTTCCATTCTCTTTTTTAATGTCCCACTTAACTTGTTGTCACTAATTAAGAGAATTCCTAAAGATACACAAAATATTTTCGTTAGGAGTGGAGCAACTGACTAAAACCAACCTGTTCTCCAAGAAGCATATTTCTATACAAGTCTCTATTTCGATAACATTATTTTTGTAATATAACAGTATAGTACAATTATGATAATAATTACCCCTGTGGGATCATCATGATTGCCATGAATACTAAAAACTGGAATAGAAATGTTGAGATTTCCATCCTGATAATTCACCCATGGAAACCTGAACAAGAAGAGGAAAAAAAAAGTTAAACTATACCTGCAAATCTGTGGACAATTCCCAATATTCTCTTCAAATTAACGTCATCACAAATGCATCATGACACCAGCGCAAATGAGTACTAAGTGGCTACGACTAAGCTTAAGCTTCACAGCATAAGAAGATTCTTACTCATGGACTGGAATGGAGCTTCCCACTGGGAAAAGGGTAGCAAAAAGAACCTATTTTTTTAGAGCAAGCCTATGAAAAGAATTGTACATGTTGTGTGGTACACGCAAGAGCAGCGGACTGGGCTGTGCAACCTTTGTTAACACACAAAGAACTCTGCTGATTTTACCACAGCAATTCATGTAACTTGGTTTACTTGCATTGTACTTGCAGAATAGAAACGATACATTACATAAATGTATCAAATGTCACAACACATTCAGAAGTTTCTCAAAAAATTGTGTGCATTCCTTTATAGACTTAGACTATAAAAGATGACAGGTAAAGTCATACTGTAAACTGTCCAACACAAACAGACCTAAGACTTCAAGGTTCCAGTCATGGAGGATATAAATCACAAAAATCACAACACATTCACCCCATATGCAAACCAAACCTTACACCGTAATTTGTAGGAACGTACTTACTTGCTATAATGAAAATTAACTGCCTGATCACTCAAAATTTCAAACTGAACAGGACGATCACCCATGCAGTATTTTCTTAGTGACTCCAAACAAGAGTGTAATGTTTTTCTGGAAGGTTTGTTGTCATGAAAAAGGTCCCCACCTAATAAAACAAAGTCCACCTGTATGTAACAAAAAGCTCTATTATTTTAATACAACATTTTGTATTATGTTGGAAGACCTCTAAGCAATAATTGTTTAAATTATTTCTTCTAAGGGGTTCCACATATCTCCTCATATCTGGACTTCTAGGTAAAACAAGTTGGTAGTTGCAGACATAGTATTTAATTTGCTCATGAAACAAACATTAACTAAATTATTCATTAAAACAAAACCAAACGCGAAAAGACCCATTTATGAAGAGGTATAGGAGAATACAACGGATCATCTTGAAAAAAAATACCAGTGAAGTGTTTTAATAAGGGTCTCCAGATTGGCTCCCGAGTATTTTCTTTTGACAGGCATGAAGAGATACATTATCTTTTCATTGCTGAGGTACCTAGTGGGAAAAAATCAGTAGCTATCGCTACATTACTTTGAGAAGGTACTAGCTGCAGTTTCTGTACATATTTAGCTTTTGAAAAGGCATTAGGAAAAAAAATAATCTTCATCAAAATTACAAATAATTTGACTAAAATATTCAATCCTTAAAAACAGAATCATAGAACCGTTTAGGTTGGAAAAGACCTTTAAGATCGAGCTCAACCATAAACATAACACTGCCAAGTCCACCACTAAACGTGTCCCTAAGCACCACATCTACACATCTTTTAAATACCTCCAGGGATGGTGACTACACCACTTCCTGGGCAGCCTGTTCCAATGCTTGACAAGCCTTTCGGTGAAGAAATTTTTCCCAATATCCAATCTAAACCTCCCCTGGCGCAACTTGAGGCCATTTCCTCTTGACCTATCGCTTGTTACTTGGGAGAGGAGACTGACATCCACCTCACTACAACCTCCTTTCAGGTAGTCATAGAGAGCGATAAGGTTCTCCTTAGCTCTCCTCTTGTTGCTAATCTATTTATAGAAACATTTCCTATTGTCTGCTACAGCAGTATCCAGATTAAGTTCTAGCTGGGCTTTGGTCCTTCTAATTTTCTCCTTGCATAAACTCACGACATCCTTGTAGTCCTCCTGAGTTGCCTGCGCCTTCTTCCAAAGGTCATAAGCTCTCCTTGTTTTCCTGAGTTCCAGCCAAAGCTCTCTGTTCAGCCGGGCTGGTCTTCTTCCCCACCGGCTCGTCTTTCGGCACATGGGGAGACAGCCTGCTCCTGCACCTTTAGGATTTCCTTCCTGAAGAAAGTCCAGGCTTCCTGGACTCCTTTGCCCTTCAGGACTGCCTCCCAAGGGACTCTCTCAACCAGGCTCCTAAAGAGGCCACTGCCCTCCACAAGTCCAAGGTAGCAGTTCTGCTGACCCCCCTCCTTACTTCTCCAAAAATCAAAACCTCTTACCGTGTTGTCATCGCTGTGCCCAAGACAGCCTCCAACCATCACATCACCCACAAGTCCTTCTCTGTTCACAAACAACAGGTCCAGCGCCTTCCCTAGCGGGCTCCCTCACCAGCTGTGTCGGGAAGTTAGCTTCCACACACTCCAGGAACCTCCTGGACTGTTTCCTCTCTGCTGTACTGTATTGCCAGCAGACATCTGGTAAATTGAAGTCCCACACGAGAACAAGGGCTTCTCCCAGCTGCTTATAGAATATTTTGTCTGCCTCTTCATCCTGGCTGGGTGGTCTATAACAGACTCCCACCACGATATCTGCCTTGTTGGCCTTCCTCCCGATTCTTACCCATCAACGCTCAACCCTATTGTCACCATCATTAAGCTCTAGACAGTCAAAACACCCCCTAACATACAGGGCTGCCCCACCGCCTCTCCTTCCTTGCCTTGCCCATCCCTTCTGAAGAGTTTATAGCTATCCATTGCAGCACTCCAGTTGTGCGAGGCATCCCACCGTGTTTCCGTGATGGCAACTATATCATAGTTTTCCTGCTGCACAACGGCTTCCAGCTCCTCCTGTTTGTTGCCCATGCTGCGTGCATTGGTGTAGGTGCACTTCAGCTGGGCTATTGACCCCGCCACCTTTTGCGGGGGGAGAAGCCCTAATTCCTACGTGACTATTCTCAGGCGCTTCCCTGGTTTCTAACACATCAATAAGCCTTGTATCTTTGCTGCCACGTGGATCTCCATCCCCTACCTCCACTGACATGGCAGAACGAAGGGCCTAGCCAGCACACCGTCCCTCAAACATTGGTGTGCCAGCCCCAGGCTTACCTCTAGTGAGCCTGGGTTTACCCCTTTCAGCCTTCAAATCTAGTTTAAAGCCCTCCCAATGAGCCCTGCTAACTCCTGTGCAAAGATCCTTTTACTCCTTTGAGACAGGTGTACCCCATCTGCTGCCAGCAGGCCTGGTGGTGTGGAGACCAACCCATGATCAAAACACCCAAAATTCTGCCAGTGACACCAGGCTCGGAGCCAGGCATTGATCTGCTGGCTCTTCCCGTTTCTTCCCTCATCATTCCCTGCAACTGGAAGGGCAGAGGAGAACACTGCTTGCGCTCCTGACCCCTTAACCAGTCATCCCAAGGCCCTGAAGTCTCCCTGGATTGCCCTTGGACTTTACCTACCTAAAAATCAGTAACACATAACAATCCGAGGGCCGTACCAGGGTAGGAAACTTTCTCTTCGCATCTTTAGCCCGGGCCCCAGGGAGGCAGCAGACTTCCCTAAGAAATGGGTCTGCTCTGCGTATTGGGCCTTCTGTTCCCTTCCGAAGGGAGACTCCTATGACAACGACCCCTCTGTTTTTCTTTACGGAAGCGGTTCTGACGCAGGACATAGGCCGACTTAACCTCAGCGACACCTCCAAGCTGGATGAACCATCGTCCTCGCCACTGTTCGGTTCCACTCGCAGAGCCTCATACCTATGACACGAGGGCACGCGGGAAGGCGGGGTGGTCACAGAGGAGACGCGCCTGCTGCGCTGGGCAGGAACTTGTCACCATTGCGCCTATCCCTTCAGTTCAGCCCGGCAGAGAGGACAGGGAATCCTCTGTATCACACGTCCCGCCTGCCTGTTGGGCCTGTCTCAGGGAAGGTAGGGTGCGATTCCAGTAGTCTCTCTCTCACTCCCTGATACTCCTCAACCTACTCACCTCCTCCCGGAGCTCTGCCACTAAGTGGAGGAGTTCCTCTCCCTGGGCCTGCGGTTCCCACAGCTCTGCTCACTGCTGCCGGCCGGCACTGGCGTCAGAGCAGGACACGGCCTGCAGCCTGGCACCGGAGCTCTGTCTGGGCAGCTGCGTCGGTCGTGGTGGGCGCAGAGCTTAGAGAGGCCGCGGCTTTCTGCCGGGTGGATGCCCTTGCTCCCTGGTGGAGCTGGCAGGCCTTCAGCGCCCTTCCTGCACGAACTGCCACGCAAACTGCTGCGCCGTGTCCTGTTCGCTGCGCTCCCGGTCACCAGTGCTCCCCAGGGGCTTCTTTTATACATGTGGGTGGGCTTGGCCACCGTTGCTCCTGGCCTCATCCAGGTCCCATCAGCTGCTGTTGCATGAGCTGCAGGCTCCTGGTGGCTTTCTCAGCCCCCGCAAAGGCTCCCCTGGTTTGGGAACCCCCCGTGTGCCCCATGCTGCAGCTCTCAGCTGTGGATCATGTGGGCTCCGGAACTGTTTACCTCAGCAACTCAGCGCTTTAACAACGCTTTAAAGTTTCTAACTTTTTTTCCTACTTTGAGTTGTCTGAAGACTTTGTATCATTACCCTCACTCTCCCCAATTATTTTCCCTTCTTGCAGCGACAAACCCTCTCTAAATACCACTGGAACTGCTGCAGGCAATCTGAAAACACCATTAATGCAACCAGAGTCATAAATTAATAAGAACCCTGTCACAAAGGTATAGGCTTTCCTTTTACTGAAACAGAAACATAACTGGTTGCAATAAATAGGTTAGTTTAGTCATCTAATTTGATATTACTAAAGATTGCGCCAGGACTAAGCTTTATAGCTTCTGGCAGATTGGAATGCATTTTCCACAGTCTCACTGCTTCACTTCCCAAAAAGCAGTACTTACTTCCTTTTTTTGAGCATGGTCCAGAATTTCATTAAAAGTTACAAATGTATCATTTCCACGCACAGGATCCTTCTCCAAATAGCCAAGATGAATATCAGTAGCAATAAGTATTTTAAAGGTATCTTCATCATCCCTGAATAAGACGGGAAAATTTGTGTTAGAGAGCAATATACTTAAGAATTTCAAGAGAGACTTTATTAAGGTAAGCTGTTATTTCCAAAGTCATTAAATACGTAGGAGATTTGTTATAAAACTCTATCAAAATATAATTCCGGTAATCTTCTCAAAACATTTCACTACTTTTATCGCAAACAGCACTTCACCAAACCAATGAGTCTGAAGATTTGGTTATTCCAATCAGCCTACTCTGGTAAAGGGCTGCAACCATCTCTCTGAAGTATCTAATGAAAAACTAAAGAATCCTTTGTACGTTTTCCGCCTTTAAAAAGACTCGGTGAGCAAACACTCAATTTCTCTCTTTGCACTGGTAATCCAGATATATATGTGTGAAAGTAAGTATGACGATCACAAGGACCTGAGGGAAAACACAAATGATGACCTGAGTTCTTAACTCATTCCAAACATACAAAAGTCTTGCTATCCGATATGACAGCACCGCATAGAGCTGCGGACAACAGGAGCTTACTGGGAGTTGACGGTACTCATCTTCGTGCCGAGACTCCTCGCTAAAAGGCTCTGGACACAGCCTAGTAAGTCAGGTCAGAGGCCAGTTGCTGTCTTCATAGACGCTACGTAAAGCCTAAGAGACAACAACACACCAGTTACGAGAGAAAGGCACCGGGAGCTGGACGATCAGCTACCCAGTCTGCTGCCGGTAATTGCTGCTTGCCAAACCGTTCAAGACAAGGAAAGGTCCGTGCTTGGTTCGACCGAACAAGGCGAACGGCAGCCCCGTGGGGCGCCGCCAGCCCGCTCGCCCCGGCCGCCAGGGAACCGAGCGCCGCTCCCGACGCCTCCGCCCCGGCGAGGCCGCCCGGAACTACGCAAGGACGGGCAACCCCAGGGCAACGGCCGCAAAACAGGACCGGGCGGGAGACGGGGCGGACGGGCACGGCGGCACCGGGTCCCCGCGACGAGCACGACGGCCATCGGGCTCGGGCACGGCGGCGGCGACCGGCCCGCTCCCCCTGGGGAGCGCGGGGTCAGCGGCCAGCGCAGGAAGCGCACCGGGGGACCGCCCTGCTGAGAGCGGAGGGCGGCGGGGGAGGCCGCAATCCTCCGCCAAGGGGCCCGCGGCCAAG